GAGAAAAAGATATTAATGCTAGTTAAAAATAACACATGTTTGTTTATGATATCCGACAAATGTAACATAGCAAAATTATGTTAAAAAGACAATTATTAATTATCACTAGATACTCAAACAGAACTTTTTTTTCTTTGCATGTGAGGCTGTTTCTAAGAATGCCATGTAAAATTTGCTATGGATAGTTTTATCTTTCTCGGGATAGTCTATGAACAAAATGCCATTCACGCCCCGAATTCCCGATGCCATGACCTTGGAAGCTGACTTTTAACTTTTAGGTCTCTTTCACTGTATGCTGTCTCCTCAATTAGGAAAAATGGTGTGTGTTTTTAGATTGTCATTTGCCCTTTTTGAAAGCAATGCAGGATTGTTCCAAAAAAATCTGATTTTTTCAATTTTATTTTCTAACTGCAATGGTTTTTATTCATTCATATGAAATTAATGATGTAACCTTGTAATTCACTTCTTTTTTTTTTATCTCGTACCACTTTCAAGACAAGAATGCTAACTTCTCAATTTTATAGCAAATGGTGCTGAATTCTATGGTGGGCAATATTCTAGTCATTTTCCCTCTTGCAAAAGAAAACTTCTGCAATTTTTCGGAAACCTACTGCACATTTTAAACAAATACACCTTTTTGGTGACCTGTTGTCTTGCGTACCCCTTTATTTTCCTGCTAGACCACTTGCATATTTGTTATCGAAATCAACTCCGCCCATTAATAAGTCCATTTTCTATTGTGAATTGTCATTATAATAAATTTTTATTGTACAAACCCATTTTATCATACTTAGACACCACTTTTATAGCTACCACTTTTATGTTTGAAAATTAAAGAGAATGCTTTCAGACTTTGGGCTAGTAGTATGTATACGTAGTATATAATCTTTTCGTTTGCTTTAACCTGAAATTAAAATGTAATTCTATAAAAATAATATTAAATTTTAACTCTGAGCATTTCAGTTATGGTTAAAATTATGTAGACTTTTCTTTTTCTATAAAATTTATGGGAAAAACAAGTTTTATTGCTGCCGAAAACTCCCTAGATTAAAGTGGGGAGAAGGCAGTAAATTAAGAGAAATGATTTTGATCTGTTTCTTTTAAAATAATTTCGTGGGCTGACTGCAGTTGAAGTATATAGGAGATAGAAACTTTTACATATCTTTTACAAAGTTTATCAAAAAATAAATATAAAAAATCGTAAGTTAGCAAATTTTTTTTTAAAAATTTGTGTGTAAGTTTCTTTTTTTCTCCCAGTTTAGTTGAATTATAAAATATTGTATAATATATCTCTTAGTTTACCTAAACTGTTTTATGGATTTTTTACAATATCAATAAAACGATTGACTATTTTAAGCAAGAAAAATGACAGTGTGAAATTGTTGATTTGCTCTGTACACAAAAGTTTGAATTTTAAAGCAATTGCATTGACAAGAATGGAATACATTAAAGTTCTTGCAGCCCATTGCTGAAAATTTCAACAAGCCTCTACATCTCTGTGAAAGCAATTAAATTTATTATTTTTAATAAAGTTTATATCAAAAAATATTTGTCCGGGTTTTTTTTTATACCACATTCTGTACAAAAAGCATCTGGCTAGTACAATTTAAATAAAAATATCAGAAGTATTTTTTTCTTTCATGGAAGCATTTTTCAGGACTTCAGTAAATCTTGTGCAAAACTTGCATGATAAGTTGAAGAAATATGTGCAGTCACTTTTCTTAAATGAAATCTAAATTTAAAGCTGTGGCTCAGGGGACAGAGCGTTCCCCTTCCGACGAGGTGAACTGAGTTTGAATCCCAGCAAAGGTTGGTTGATTCAAATTCCGCACCCGACTGGACTGGCACCGACGTAAAATATCCTCTGTTGTAGACGGATCATGGGTTAGAGTCGCCTTCGCGTCAGGCTAACCATGAGAGGTTTTTATAGTTTTCCTCTCCATTTAACTCAAATCCAGGTCAGTTCCATCAAAAAGTCCTCCATGAAAGCAAATTTCTCTTAATACTTGATTCAAGAATTCCCTTGTCTTCTGGGTTGGGTGCAAAATTACAAGGCAACGGATTTGAACATTAGTAGTTGTAAACTCAAAAAATTGAGTCAGCAGTTCAACAACAGTTATAAAATATTTGAAGATAAAAAAAACGTATCGTGAATATAAGTCGCATCTTCTTGAATTACATTGCTAAAACATAGGTTAATTACATTCTTATGAACTGAATCAAACAAAGAATTTTTTCCTATTTGGTAGAGACTACAACTTTTTTAGAAATCTTTAATAATTTAGTATAGAAATGTTCACTGTCACTGCCTGAAAATTTTAAATCTGACTGATATCAATAGATTTTTTTTGTGTGTCCAAGGCCTCCCGAGTCTGAAATTAAATACGTCAGATTAAGGCCAAAAATTGTGAAGGGAAAAGCCAAATAAAATATATTATCGGGATAACTTATTTACTGATTAAGAGCTTTAAAAATTTGTAGTTCTTTTACAATAAATAATTTTTACTTTTTTTTATTGTGAACCAAAGAGAGTTTTAGGTATAGAGTGGCCATAAAGTATATGAAATTTTTATTGTGTGCCTGAGCCGTAAGATTTCTGTCTCTTCACTCTCAAACAAAATGTAGTTCTGCGAAAGAAAATTGCTCATTAAAATGAAATTATTTCATTAGACTGGTTTTAAAATTATTATGATTTATGCCACAGTAATTGCAATTGAAAAAAAAATAAATTAATAATTAAAAGGATTTTCTTCCATCCATCTAATTTAAATTTCACCCCATTTTTAAAATTATTAAAAGTGTCTTAATTTAACTAAATCCTTTCTATTGTTATCGGAGAAACGGCAAACTAATTTTAAAACTATTTGTTCACAATATTTAACCTATTAAAATGATTTAGAAATTATGGTTTTTTGCTACTCGATGATCAGATTTTCTTGTATTCAAGTGATACTGCTAATACAATTCTCTTGTTATTCCAACAAATTGTTCACACCAATTTTCTTAAGTAAGCTGCAGGTATATTTTGGCCTAAAAAAGAGGAAAATACAGAGAAACCTCCAGGAAAGAGCACTTTTGGAAGGTATGGAATTTTTTTCATAGACATAATGTTGAAGATAACCTTTAGGAGAGACCATCAAAGGCTATCTCAGCAACCGGTCAACCCTTCGCACCCAATGCCGAAAAGGTTAATTAAGGAAGTACGAAAAAATATCAAAACAAAATCTGTTAACAAAAAAAAAAAAAAAAAAAAAAAAAAAAAAAAAAAAAAANAAATGTATTCAAAATATTTGTGTGAGGTTCTTATTTAGAGAGCTCTTTTTGACGATCTCTGAAAGAGGTCTACAACCTCGTGTTGTAGCCAGATTGTACTAAAGATGATGATCAATGATTTATTTCTAGAGTAAGTTAATTTAGAAAAAGAAAAACTAAGCTTACTGAGACAAATAAGCTTTAAAGCTAACTAATTTTTATGATATAAAATCAAATGCAAACTTAAAAAAAAAACAAAATTGTTTACTTATTTAAAATAGTTCTACCTTTCATAATTAGTAAATTTGTTTTTACACATAATTATATCAGTAGGGACTATTTTTATTGACTCTATAGTTTATTTAGAGATCTGATTTTCATAGCGTCAACATAAGTTGTATTTCCGCACCAAGAAAATGACACTGACTAAAATTAAAATCGGTTGCGAAATATCGTGTGCCTTTGATAACATTTTAGACAAGAACCATTTTAGTGTCGAACAGAGAGTGGTCGCTTCCGAGAGGTTTTATTGTAAAAAACATTAATAAAAGCTTCACAAAAGTCATAAATTTTTTTGGTATTCCCATTTGAACTTCCATTAAACGAACGTTCCTTTATATACTTATTATGAACAGCTGAAAAATTGGTAGTTCTTTTGTTCTGCACTTCTTTTTCTTTTCCCCCAATTTAAAATTTTCAGGTGTTATTGCAAATGATGACAGTTGATTACCTTAGTAATTGTTGATATGAGTAATGGTGAACTGTACTAATAGTAGCCAATAGAAAATATTTAATTTCTACCATAGAATGTAAAAATTAATAAAATTATTTTTGATTTGTTATTAGTCTTATCATTTAATTATTAATAATATACTATCATCACTTTTTCCAACTATTCAATTGTTATGTACTGCGAAATAAATTTTCAATGAATATTCATCCAGTGAACTATCGTATATAGTGAACATATTGCTAGGTTCACAGACATACAGCATAACGAGGTCAAATTGTATTAATTTTGTAATCGTGGCATAAAAGATCGTTTTTTTTTCTTCTTATAACACATACAAATATTTTTTTCAATAATACTCAATCCAATGTTTAAATTAATAAATTTTCATTCAATTAGCATTGTCTAATGTAAGCTACTGTCAGTTTAGAATAGTCCCAACGTATTGTATAATAATAATATAAAATGTTTTTTCATGGATGGATCTTATGACAACATTATGATGTATGCAATGCATTGTAGAAAATGATAGGCCACTTTTTATATAGGGTGGTTAAAATTAAATGTTACTGTCTTTAGACTAACGTAGAGCACATTTTAGTTGATGAATGCAGATGAAACTTGGTATACACATTGTATGGACCATAGCATCATGTGAGAAAGAAAAGACCAGGTTAGAAAATGGTGTGCATTAAGGAGGAAAAAACATTGGGGAGATGTAAAATTTCTTCACTTGGAGTTCAACCCTAACCTGATGGTTTTTTTCTTTATTATTACAATAACAAGACTTTTGCTTTCATTGCAGTTTTATTTGAAAGCCGCTGATATCCTTGCAGCTCACGTCTAACTCTCTAGAAACTTTTAATTGTTTTCTCTATCTTCTGTAATAGCATGCAGCTTAATGATTTCTAGCCACTTAATTCGTCCCCATTTATAGTTCTTTTTGCAATTATATAAAGTCAATCCTAAAATAATGTGGAAGGTATAGTATTTGAATATTGATATATTCTCTTTTTAGAGATAGTTCAGCCGTGACACCCGTAGAAGTTCACGTAGATGCTCAAAACCCTGATGTCACTTTAGAAGCTTACTCCAGGGATCAGGCAGACGTTAGCTCAACTTTTCAAGAGTACTTACAACTCGTCGGATCTTCTGAGTCTGCATCTGTTCCTTATCTTTCTGCCAGTGATTGCATGCTGTATCCTGCCTTAAGACTGAAACTGTCAAAGAGCTGCAAAAAGCGCTACCACAGCAGCACAGTCCCCGAAGAGTCAGATTCCCATAGGAGTGGCGAAATGGTTTGCGAAAACCACTGCCTACCAGGCCATGTTCACTTCAACAAGTTGAAAGAATGCTGCGTCAGCTACATCGACGAGAGTCCTTCGGCCGACAGTCTTGCCAAACCGGCTGAAAGCTGTTCAAACTCAGAATGCCACCTGGTCAGGGTCTGTCGTTCGGCAACCGACAAGCCATCAAAGTTTTTGACGCGCACGAAACTGTCTCGTGAAACAAAATGTGTTACTCGGTCAATCAGTTTCTGCAATAGCTGCACGTCGACTCACAGGTCGTGCTGCCCGTCAGCATTCCGCAGCAGTGGAACGGTTCCTAAAAAGAACATCATCAATAGGTCAGATAGTGGTTCAGAATCGAATGCCTTATCTACTAGAGCTTATATGTTCCCTTGCAGTTTGCAGGATATCTCCGTTGAAGTCGCGATCGATGACTGTCCCTCCTCGACAACAGTTCCTGCTGCACCCTCGAGCTCTATACACTTCACCAAAGCTCTGCAACCCCCCCTGTCTGACAGGCAAGAGTGCTGCACCTCTTGCACGAGACATTCCTCAAAAGAAGATAGGACATGCTCACTAAATATAAGCAAAGCAGACAACACTCATATTGAATTGGAAATGTTGTAAACATGTACTGAAAAAATAACATATTATTTGTGTCAATATTGGCTTACCCATCAGGGATGCCCTACTCTCAAAGAAATTTTGGCCTTGGATTTATAAAAAAAAGTTTTTAAAAATATCAAATATTATTTTTTTTCTTCTTTCAAATTTTACCGTATAGTCTTCTTTCTTTGTTAATCTTTTTATTTTGATGCTGCATAATAAGAAGCGTGGGATTTATCAATGTAGACTTTTTCTTGATGAAAGTTCTTTTAGAATCTAATTTAACACATTCGCATAATTATTTTACTAAGTTTAAATTATGTTCCACGTCTTGATTCTTCTGAGGTAGATTTTTGTTATGAGTTTTAATCACTGATGTCAGAGATTTTAAGTGAAAGACATGTTATTTTGTCAGAGTTGTGGAAATGCAATCTCTCTTTTAATCTAGGTTTCATCTGTGATTTCTTCTAGAAACTATCAATTAACTATCTAGTTCATCTAATGTGCATAAATAACGATTATTCTTTACAAAATGACCTAATATTATGAAAAACTGTTGTTATTTTCAAAATAACATCAGATATGTGAAAGTTCATGTCTTACATTATCCTTATGTAATGCACCAGGTTAATTGTAAAAGTCTCTTATACTTTCTAAACAACATGGCAGTTTTTATGCTTTTTTATTATCAGTCCATTTATTTTTAGGGTAATTATAAAATATATCTGTTGCTTCATTAGCCTTATTTATCTATAGCTGTTTGCAATGAGACTAAAGCTTATTACAATGTGTCTAAGTGATTTTAGGCTGATTGAGTTATTTTTTACACATTTTCTAATTACCTTATATTAAATTATAATAGACCTATAAAGTGTATAGGCATATAAAGTGTTAATCTGATTTTAAATAATGAAGATTTTTTGCAATCAACCTGGCGTTTTTCAAAAATGACTGCTACATTTGCAAAGAACCCATTTTTTCCAATTACATATATGCCATTTTTATGTATAATTTGTAGAATATTAAGTTAATCAAAATACTGTTGTGTGTACAGGGCCTGATTATCGCCTAGGCCCAATAGGCACGGGCCTAGGGCCTACACTTTCTAGGGGGCCTCAAAAATTAGTAAAAAGTCCACAATATTACTATTTTTTTTAAATACTGAAAGAAACAGTTTTTCTCAAAAAATTCACTTTTTTTTTTCTTCTTCAAATTTTCCTTATATCGTGATAAACCAAACTCGTGTAAACATTGCACTAATCAAATTCGAAAGTACAGCTGAATTTGAATTGGTGTAGTTTTTACGTCAACGGCGTAAGTGAATGCACTGAATATAAATTTTAATTTTTTGAAAGTGATATCTTTAAATAAATTATTATTTAAATGTGTTTTTTTTAATTTTCTATGAGTAGCTATAATTTTGGCTCCTTTTGGATATTTTTTGTGTGTATTTTTTTTATAAAAATTATAATTAATAACCTTAATATCTTAGCATACATGCTGAACTTAACGTTAAATCTACTGAAAAGTCGGCTAGCTTTGTGTTGGTTTAAGTACTAAATAAAAAAATAATTACAGCTTACAGTGAAAAATAATTCTACTAATCAGTGACTTTTAGCAAAAATCACTGATTCTCAATTGTTTGTGGTCACCAAACTATTTTATTTTGACAAAACATCGTTTTGTTGTTTTATATTTTGCTTTAATATATAGATGCTAGAACTTTATCTTAAAAATGATCTTCAATTGTTTGCTTTCAAAATTTTTTGGAATGTTTCTCTTCAATAGATTCTTTTTTATTGTTATAACTACTCTTCAGAAACTTAATTTAAAAATATTTCGAAAGGGGCCCAGAAAATTTGGTGGGCCTGAATTTGTCTTGATCAGTCCCTATGTGTGTAAACAATTTTCAGTTACCTGTAATTTGTCTATTGCTTTTTTCTTATATAAACACACATATATACATACAAATTTATAGATACAAATATGTATATATATACACATACTATCTTACAATAATGGAAGAGACACTTTTGGTTTTCGATATTATTTTGAATTTCTCCTGCGATTTTTCATATTTTGCAATAAAGTTTAAAGCTTTCAGTGGTTTTAGGGACCTACAATAAATTACAAAAGAAAACAAGTATTTTTGAACACCACATGCCAAACAATCAAGCAATAAGAACCACTTCTCAATCAATTACTTGAGTTGTTATTTGCAATGACTGCATAAAAGTTTGTAAATCTAGCTTAAATATTTATGGAGACATTAATATTTTTATTAAAAACTAATTTTTCTGATTCATGTTTTTTTGCTTTGAAAATATTCAGTAAAATTAAACAAAATTTTTAGAGCAATTTAAAATAAGTAACAAAATTGTTTTAAAATTTGAAAAAATTTGTTAGTAAATGTGCAAGATATGAGTATTAAAAGTAGTTCTTTTGTAATGCGAAAAGCATGGAAGAAATTTAAAATTATCTTTTCTTACTTTTATAGTGAGAATCATACCTGACAACTAATGGAAAAAAATTGATTTAAATATCTTAAAAACGTAAAAAGTTTAAAGCAATTTTCTAAGTAGTTATTGTAATTTTTAAACTAAGTTCAAAATGATAAGGGGTTTTCCCTATATTTAATTTTGTTTTTACTGTCCACTCATTATAGGGTAGTGTACTTTGCAATACTACATAAGAAAATTTGTGAAAAAAAACTCTGATTATTTTGAGCTTTCTTTTAAAAAATGCAAACGCTACTTGGAAAATTGCTTGAAGCTTGTTACATTTTTATTATATTTAAAGCAAATTATTTCCATGAGTTTCCAAATACAATTCACTAAAAAATTATGAAAAAATAATTTTGAATTTTTTCGCCACATGCGCAGTGCAAAAGAACTTTAAATACTCATATCTTACGCATTTTTTAAAATTTTTTTTTTCACATTTTAAAAGAATAAGTTATTAATTTTAAATTTCTCCAAAATTTTTTTTTCATTTTATTGAATATTTTTAAAGTCATAGCAAAAGAACATAAGACATAGATATTTAAATAACGCAATAACTGATTAAAAATTAGTTTTACGCAGTCATTGCAAATAACAAACAAAATAATCGATACAAGCTTATGGGTTGATTTTCTGCCATAGGGTGTTCAGAAATATTTGTTTTCTTTTGCGATTTATTGTTGGTCTCTCAAACCTCTGAAAGCTTTAAACTTTATTGCAAATCACATGAGCTAAATACTTCTAAATTTACAAAATAGTCCTCTAAATATCTCTTGAGAAATTCTAGAAAATATAAGTGTCTCTTCCATTATTATAGGATAGTGTATATATATATAAACAGCTATATAATGTATACAATAAAAGCTAGATATGACGGATATGGTATATTATGACAAATTACCGTGAAAATACTAATGTTAGATGTACAATTATAGTATGTTTAGAAGGAGTTTAAAATAACTAGCTTTCCACTATTAAGACAAAAATTCTTTAGAGAAATATTTTTTCTGCCATTTAAGTAAGCAATATTATACAAACAAATTCAATGGTAGGCATTTTTAGTATTAATACAGTAAAGCATGGATCTTTCTTAAAATGGTAACCCTTCTCGAAAAGTAAGTCAACATTCAATGACATCAAAAGGCTCTCACGCAAAACGAAACTTGTTGGTCAAACATTCTTATCCTAAACAGTTCTGCCTTTCATAATGTACAAAGCTATGCAATACAGTTTACTTTATGAATGTATTTTTAATTGAAAATAGTTATTCAAATTAACATTTAAATATGTCCATTTCATTTTTACGCTTTTTATTGCGTGTTTGCTTGTAATGATAAGCTGGCTGTTATGACAATTTTATTTGCTATTATGAATTGTCATCATGATTGTGAGGCTTAAGATTTTTGTGAGAAGTCTGGCATCCCTGATATATTTCTTATGCTGTGTTGATTCTGTGATTGTGATATACTATATGTGAGACTTTGTAATTTTGTATAATCCAATCGAGGAGAATTCGTAAGTTTTGAAACGGGGAATTCTATCAATATTTTTTTTTTTTTAATGGATGGAAAGCCAGGAGCTTTTTTTGTGAAAAGAAACGCGGTGCCGGTTATGTATGTTAGTGTCTCATCTTAGATGTTTTTTTTCTTTTAATGTATATAAACATGAAGTTCTTTGTGTGCTTTACTCTGGGCGGCAGCAAACCTGTATATTTTTAAGTTGAGCATGAGATATACTGCATGCTATACAGTGTGTACACATTCTTTATTTCTAAAAATTTGCCAGTGAAAATAGATTATTTTCTTGTTGAATGTACTGGCGAGCTTGTATAGATATGACTCAAGTTATATATTGTAATAAATATTTTACAAAAATCTCATTTTTCGTCCCCTATTTATTTCATCCATCTAAAGACAACCTACTACAATCAAAACATCAAAACTATTGCAACATTTTATAGACAAAACGTTTTACAGGGCCCATTCTGGAGCCTCTAGAACGTATTATGAGTGACATTTATTTCCATGACTTATTAAATTACTTTTGTTCAATTACATTCACTGAATAAAACATAAAGAAAAAAAAATCCAATCCTAGTAGCTATTGAAGGCGCATTCAGGAAGAAGTACGCTTTTGGGTGCAATTTTGACATCTTTCAGGACGCCAGCGTGACTAGTGCTTCCTCAACTAAAGATGGTTGACTGTGTAGAGCAGAGGTGTCAAACTCAATTTTGCAGAGGGCCATATATTAAATTTAGAATGTGTAGGCGGGCCAGATTCAAATAAAAAAATTTACTGAAATATTATAACATTTTATTTATTTAATTATATACTATATAATATACGGTTGTTAAAAATCATATCCAAAGTTATAAAAGAGGATAATTGTTTTGAGCTCGAGGATCCAGATACCTGACTTCTCTTGTTTTTGACAAGCTCATTGATGCCCGGTTTCATATTTATTGTAATTATTTTAAGAATTGATTGGAGATGTTCATTCGTAAGTCTTGTGCGATGCTTGTTCTTATTTATTTTCATGACGGAAAACATCTGCTCACATAAATAGGTGCTACCAAACATGCACAGAATGCGTGCTGCATGCTTTTTTAATTCCGGGTAGTTATCCAAACTTTTGAGATAATGTGTATAAAATGTAAGAGCGTTAAACTCTTTAAATTTTTCTTTCAAAATACTGTCCGATTGAAGATCTATCAACGCCATTTGCAAATGAACTTGTGCCTGTGAAGCTTCAAAATTGAATGGATTGTTGAAAATTGGGAATTCCATTTCATTCATTTTCTGGAAGTCTTCAAAACGATTGTTGAATTCCGCGACCAGATTTTGCAGAAGTTGAGAATATTGATCCAATTTTTTTTTGGTTCACTGTGCCAAATGATTTTAAATGAGGGAAATGATCTAAAGTTTGATTTTTTACCTGATTTTCCCACAGCCTCAACTTTGTTTCAAAGGCTTGATGAATACATTTGAGTGACAATCAGATTTTTACCCTGTAACTTTAAATTCAGATCAGTCAAGTGTTTATTCATATCTACCAAAAAGTCACAATCAATCCACCTGTCATTGTCATAATCAATTGGGTTGCCTTTTTCTAACATGAAAGCTTGAATAGGGTCACGTAATGCAGAAAATCTTTCTAAAACTACTCCTCGACTGAGGCAACGAACTTCGGTTAAATAAGGGACATCAGAAAAATGTTCGTCCAAATCTTGTAAAAACTGCCTGAACTGTCGGTGATTTAATCCTCTGCTCCTTATAAAATTTACTATTTTAATTATAGGTTGCATGCCAATGATTCCTGATGAATTATACAGTGAAATCCCACAAAATTCCCCGATGTTTTCTGTTTTAATTTAGTTACAAAGCCCGAATGTTTGCCAGCCATGGCAGGAACGCCATCCGTAGTTGTGCTGCTAAGTATATTCCAGTCGAGTTCATATTCTGCTATCAAATGCTCAATTGCAGAATAAATATCATTTGCTGTTGTAGTACCTGTCAATGGAACGCACTAGTTCTTTAGTTATTTCTAAGTTACTGTTAATACCTCGTATAAAAACAGCAAGTTGACCTATATCAACAGTATCAGTGCTCTCGTCAACAGCCAGTGAAAAGTTTATAAATTCCTCAATTTCTCCCTACCCAAGACAAAATTTATGATGGTTTTTCTTTGATGGACCAACATGAATATGATGGTAACCATCATGATCAGTTTCCATCATATTTTGTTGACGGTTGTTGGTCCATCAATAGTAAACATACCATGTTGGTTGACCATCATAAAGAGAATACAACATATTCCATCATAATATGATGGTTATTGTTGGTCCATGAAAAATCCAACATTACTTGATGGTTTACCATCATAGCAATAGAGCAACATTTTCCATCTTGCTATGTTGGTCCATCAAAAACCAACAAACCATGATGGAAGTTGTTGTGTGATGGTGCCCATCAACACATGTTGGACCATCAAGAATCTTGTTGAAACCAACATAAACCATCAAAATCCTTTGATGGTACCATCATAAATTTTGTCTTTGGT